GCTGAGACTTTTGTGTTTGTGCCTCAGGCAGGGGACACGGTGGGAGTGGTGCGCAGAGAGGACGGCACGTTGAATTTCTTTGTCAATGGCGTGGCGCAGGGCGTGGCCGCGTGGAATGTCCCCACCAATGTCTTTGCTGTGGTGGATCTCTATGGGCAGGCGGCACAGGCCACCATACTAGACGAAACAGGTGAGTGCTCCTCCCCCTCCCCCCATCATGAGATGGCCGGCCGCCCCAGACTGACCGGTCACATGACTCCTCCTCTGCCTGGTATCCGGTCAGCGTGTGTCCCTCCTGGATCTCTCCTGATAAGTGGGATGGCGGCCATCTTGGTACTCTCACTGCTGCCCTTCTCTCTCTTCTCAGATGCGTTGCCCCTCCCAGGAGAAGAGGAAGACACCCTGGCTCTGACCCCCGGGACCCCGTGCGCTCTCCAGTCTCTGTCTGACCTGCGATTCCATCACCTCCATGGTAGTAACGCCCTGATAACCAATGGGGGCCGCACCGCCCTGAGGAACAACTCGCGCAGTGAATTCAACGACGCCATCGTCATCTCTAGCAGGTGAGGGTGGAGCAGTCAGTGACCGGCCCCTAAAGGGTACAGGACGGAATGGGCCATACTGTCTCCATTATTCAGTCATTATTTGTGTCCATCTCACCTCCCAGATGCCGTATCCTCCTCCTGCCGTCCTTCCTCCTGTAATATTCAGGGGTTGTACTCATCTGAGCCTGGCATACCTTCTGTTCCTGCTGGGAGGGGGGAGGGGGTTGGGTTCTGTTCCTCATGGGTGTGGTTTCCTCCCTTTCCTCTCACATTAGGTTTTGCCTCCCTCTGTTCCTCATGGGTGGGGTTTCCTCTCACATTAGGGTTTCCCTCCTGGGTGGGGTTTCCTCTCACATTAGGGTTTCCCTCCCTCTGTTCCTCATGGGTGGGGTTTCATCTCACATTAGGTTTTCCCTCCCTCTGTTCCTCCTGGGTGGGGTTTCCTCTCACATTAGGTTTTACCTCCAGGGTGGGGTTTCCTTTCACATTAGGTTTGCCCTCCCTCTGTTCCTCCTGGGTGGGGTTTCCTCTCACATTAGGATTTACCTCCAGGGTGGGGTTTCCTCTCACATTAGGTTTGCCCTCCCTCTGTTCCTCCTGGGTGGGGTTTCCTCTCACATTAGGTTTGCCCTCCCTTTGTTCCTCCTGGGTCGGGTGTCCTGGCTTTT